TACCTAACGCGGATAGAACCGCTTACGAAATCTACACAATAAAAATTAATAGCCATAGATTCATGTATGAACTACGAATAAGAAACACTACAAAGCTATACGACAGCTACGCCTAACTCACGGGTCGAACCCAGTAGTCTCCGTTACGTGGGGGCGACGTGGCTCGGTTCCGCTGGACTTCCTCGGGCTTCCATGCCCGCTTCCACTTGCAACGTATGAGGAGTTGACACGCAAAGTGGCGACGGAATACGAACGGTAGCGAACGGCCAGACTCGACGACGGCACACGTAGACTGACTGCAGGCAAGGGCGCCTGCGCTCTGCATCTCTGACGCTCTTCTCGAAGCTTCGACAACACGGGCGCGCCAGGACCCGCGCGCACCCGACCAGGCGCGACCCTTTAGTTTGAGTCGTACGGAAGTCACGGCAGAGTGCATCGACGCGGATTTCAACGGGTTCTTTCTCCGCGATATACTGTACTTGCGAAAGAAATTACAAAAAAGCCTTTAAAAGTGTGTTGTGCGCCGATAGCACAAGCAGGGTAGCCAGTGGGCATGCTTTGCGAACGTCGTGGAGTAAATGGATACGCCGATTCGCTATCGCATCGCTCATAACTCTCTTATTGCTAGAGAAATACACAGCCGCAAACGAATTCGTGGATTCTCTAGCGACTCCACGGAATAGCAAAGCCTGACACCGGCTTTAGCGTATTTCACCATGTCGACGGAACAACTGACCAGTGAGGCTTCTTCGAGGATAGGGTGCAAAACTTTCGCGAACGATTAGTGACGCTATGTTGCTTAAAGGAACAGTCAGGCAATTTCCTTTTGGAGCTATACAGCCCCAGCCATGAACATAAGAAGTGTTAGTGAACAAAAACACAACTTGGGAAACCGCTAGGAAGGGAGCTAAAGTAAGCTAAGTCGTAATCGGCCGAGGGGATTGCCGTCGTCTCCAACCACGCCCACCCTGCGTGGACTGTTGCTTTAACACATTCACGACGACGCCCCTTTTCCACTTTTCGGTCGCGTGGGACGGACGCGATTTTGTGGGCGCCGCCGCCTCACCACATCACCTCAGATTTTGTACTGTAAATGAACAAAAACATGAATGCCACAAAATGATTTCAGCAATGTTCAATGTGTAAAGATTATCTAAACATATAATAGTAGTATTTCGATCAGAACGACGAATAGTGGTTACGAAAAGAGAGCATTTATTCGCTTTCCCCGTGAAGGATTTTAAAAGCATTTCTCACTCGATTACGAGGTTTACCCACCTATCTGTCCATTCCTAGCGCCTGGCAAGCGATTATCAGCTGGCAGCCATGAAATCCCTACTCACACTCACGCAATGGCAGCCTATAAGGCGGCCATTGCGCGTGAGTGTATTAGGGATCTTCAGAAGTGTTTGGCTCTCTGCGATGACGTGCTGAACAGTTACCACCTTACGCCTCTTTTCAAGCACAAAAAATCTACCTATTCAATCACAGAATGACTTCAAACGAAAGCCATAGAGCGCTCCCTCATAGAGCACATGTCTGCGATATTATCAGCACCCTTCTAAAAAGGGAATATCAGACTTTTACATTCTTAGTAGCTGTCTCAAACTAAAATTCGACAGTGCAAGAAGAGACTAATTTGAAGCTCCAATGCGTAATTCTTCGCCAATTCATTTTCGTACAGTTATTAATTATTTTCAGGAACGACAGCCTCGAAAGGTTCACTAGCCTACGAGAATATCCGCTACGGAATCGAGAGATGGAACAACGATAACCTCGCGCACACCGAGATCACCTTGCACATTGTCGCCACTGAACTCTACCATGCCGGTTTTGAAGAACGAAGTATGAGCGTTTTCGTTGTGAGCTCCGTTTAGAACTTATAGACGTGACAAGTCCTTGTCAGCGATCAGAGCGAACCACTGCCTCGATTGCTTTTAGTTTCATTTATATGGGTGAACTATCAGCACGGGGCTCTCCAGAAATCCTAATATGTACAGTAGCTGATGCGAACGACTCGGAGTACACAACGATTCTACCGATTAGAAAGAGAACAGGGGTTCCCATAACCGAATTTGTTTAATCATTTGATCAATTAGTACCCCTCCCCCCTTTAGGAACGTCTCCATACAACCCCTACCACCGCCATTAATCTCGGGAGACTCCCCCAGTACGACCCTCCTCCCTCTACCCGAAGGTCACCCTTGCCATCATGGCGGCTGTTTCAACAGCATTTGTTTATGACACCTATCGATACAACCAATCCCGCCCACTTTTCACTCCAAAACTCCCGTCGAGCGGGGGAGGAGGATAAGTTGGTATAATGCGAATCAATAATAATGCAAATCCACCATTTTTTCTACTTCATGCTGCTTCCATGAAGCGTTTGCCCAAATCCTCGAGAATCTCGCCAAAAAACAACCCCTATTCCATACTACAACCCCTTCAACTTCCAAAATGCGACTCACATTCGCACTTTTCCGAGACTCTTACACCTGCTCAGCCCCAAATGCGATCCACTCATTCCGGATAGTGCGAACGGACGGTCGACCCTGGCTTCTCTCCGCCTCTGAGCCAGCTCACCCGCCGTCTTTGAATCCAGGATTGCAGAACCACCCATTCAATATAGCCACCATAGAAGCTCTAGGCAGCAACCCTTACCATACTGGCCAGCTAGTAAGCTGCTTCTCTTATCAACATATGAAATAAGACTTATATTGATTCATAGAGAATATTTACAGAACTTAATTTCTGGAATGCTTACAAGCTTTTTTTGCTGATCCACTCACCAAAGGGGTAATAGCAGCTTGTCACCCAAGCGCAGCACAACAGTGACAAGTAGCGCGCAGACGAATGTGTCTATTTTAGTGTGCGACGTCATGCAACACAACGTCGTCGCCGTCCTCATTCCATCGTCCGAAGGTCTTCTTGACGATCCTCTGATCAAATCGATGTGCCATCACTTTCAGGTTTGTCTCATCTCACTTTTAACACTCTCGTTCCTCTGGTTGAGGGGCTCCATTCAGGATTTAGCTGTCATCGGAAACTTCACCCTCCCATTAACATACTTCTGATTGCCCCGAGAAATTGCTTTCTCAGTATACTTTCTTCATCATCAACCTTTCGTTTTTCAAGGTAGCGCAAAGATCGCTTTATGATTGGGATCGGTTTTACTATAAGTTACCACTAGAAATAAAGAATTTTCGGGGGCTGAATGTTGACTATGCTTTCAGATCCCCTGCCTCTCATTAAAAATGGGCAATCCAGTGGAATTCGGTAAGTGTTCAGAAGATGTTTCATCCTTTTGCTATAAATCTTTAATCTCGAGTCTACTTTCAGTGTCAGATTTCGTGACGAGTGTCGGTCCACGACGAGGTTTAGGAGCCCAGGCCACCAGCGAGTTTCTCGAAAACCTTCGATGGACTTCATTTTTGCTCGCGTATCAGCAGGATACAGGTACATATTCC